ATTTCACCATGACAAAATTACATTTATAAAAACTTCACTTGTTCAGCTTTTGCATCCAAAGTTGTTCTGAAGGAAAACTGAGACTTTGATTCTGTACAACTTTTTCATTCAATGACATCTTTTTTGTGCCTCAGGAGTGGTTTTGTGGTCAGCTGAAATTCCATTACTTTTTAACTACTTAAGAGATGCTTTATATCGAAAATGAACTTTTTTTCAAGTAGCAGATCTAAGCAGGCCAGCAAGAAGACTTTACAGGTGAACTGTGATGAACATGTCTAAGTATGGGTAGTCTTCAGATTATGAACAAAATCCATTCCTAAATGTGTCTGTAAGTAGAATTTGTAGGTGAGACTGAACAGGTGCATATAGTTCTTGCTTTAGTTCAAGACTTGAAGCCTTTTCAATGAATTATAAGCCGCACATACAGCAAGTAACAATGACTGTGATGAAGAATTTGTTATAAGTAGGTGTTGGTTCAATCTTTTCAAAGTAAGGACAGTTTGCGTAACCTCAAAGGGCAAGTAGGGGCTGTCCATGAGTTGGCTATTCTTACCTTCAGGAGCTGCCTGGTTTTCCTCACCAGCTACAAACCCCAATATTAGAAGAAAGTTATATTCCCCTCACCCTTTCATTTTAGTCCCTTTGTTCAGACAGAAGACTTGACGAAACATACTTCCTGAGAAAGGAATGTTTAGATGGCATTGGGTAGAAGAGAAAGGAAGAGTTATAGAAGCATCAGATAACTAAGACAGTTGGGTTTCCATATACCAGCAACAAAAAACATAGAAGGTAATTAGGGAAACAATTCCATCTACAATAGCATCTCAGGAAATAAAATATCCAGAAATATCTAAGCAGGGATTAAAGGATTTATACAGTGAAAACTATAAAATACTGCTGGAGGAGATTAAAGACTCAAATAAATGAAAAGATGTTCCATATTCATGGATTAGAAGACGTAGTATTGTTGTCAATACTACCCAAAACAATCTAGAGATTTTATCCTGATAAAAATTCCAACAACCTTCATTGTTGCTGATGTTGTTAGGTGCCATCAAGTCGGTTCCCATAGTGACCCTATGTACAACAGAATGAAATACCACCCATCCTCACAACTGCTGCTACACTTGAGCCCAGTGTTGCTGCCACTGTGCCAATCCATCTCGTTGGGGTTCTCCTTTTTCACTGTCCTTCCACTTTATAAGCATAATGTCCTTCTCCAGGGACTGGTCCTTCCTAATATGTCCCAAGTATGAGAAACAAAATCTGGCCATCTTGACATCTAAGGAGCATTCTGGTTATTCTTCTTCCAACACAGATTTGTTTATTCTCTGGCATTTCATGGTATTTTGAATATTCTTCTCCAACACCGTAACTCAAACATATCAATTCATCTATGGGCTTCCTTATTCATGTCCAATAAAGTGAGGTTATTGAAAATACCGTGATTTTGGCCAGGCGCACTTTAGTTCTCAAACTGACATCTTTATTCTTGAATATTTCAAAGAGATCTTGTGCAACAGATTTGCCTAATGCAATACGTCATTTGATTTCTTGACTGCTACTTCCATGAGTGTTGATGGTGGATCAAAGGAAAATGAAGTCTTTAACAACTTAAATCTCTTTCCATTTATCATGATGTTATTTATTGGTCCAATGGTGAGGATTTTTGTTTTCTTTACATTAAGGTCTTTGATCTTCATCAGTAATTATTTTAAGTCCTCTTTGCTTTCAGCAAGCAAGGTTGTATCATCTGCATATCACAGATTGCTAATGAGTCTTCCTCCAGTCCTGATGCCACATTCTTCATACAATCCAGTTCTCAGATTTGCTCAGCATACAGATTGAATAGCTTTAGTGAAAGAATGTATGACTAATTGCCTCCATAAACAACTGCCTCCTTTGCCATGAGACCAAAAGACTGGCTGGTGCCTAGCTTCCATTACTGAACATTTTATTCCACAGAATTTTATATTCTCATGAACTCTAGACTTCCTGGAACTTTGAAAGTTGGATAAATCCTTGAAACTATTGCCCTGAGACAACCTTTAAACTTTAAACCAGAAATACATCCTTAAGTCTTCTTGAAATCAAACAATAGTTAAATTTACTTAGTAAAACAATGTCTGCCTTGAGCTTGGTAAGCCTTTGTTGAGTATGGGGCCTAAGTGGAATCCTAAACTTCATCCAGAACCTTCTTAGGTAGGGACATGCAGCCCAACCTGGAGCAACTAGAGGAACAGAAGATGCTTCTTGAAAGACCAGCAGAAAAAAAAAAAAAAAGCAGACTGTTTGGCTATTATAAGAACAAGCAAGCTGTTGAACTGGAGCCATCAAGGCAAGAAAAGTCAGCCCTTCAGGACAAACCTCTTCCAAGACTGAAACTCAAAGGGAACACACGAGTAGGCTTATAAGCTCACTGGTGACCGCGTTGGTCTACTTGTGAATGCAAGTGAGGGAGATGCAATAATGAAGACATGGGTTGAGTTGGACCATGTTCCATAGACTCCTGTCAACTTTGAAATGAGAGAAAAAGGAAGGGCTAGTTGGTCCAAATTTCGGGGAATTTGGGAACTTCTGAGCCCATGGACACTGACCTAGCCACAGGGGCCTAGAGCTGATTGAAGTGTCCAACTGATAAGAAGTTGGAGGAGGCACGCAAGAACACTCAAACTTGCAGATAGTACCCATTTGACCTAGCTTTGAATGGCTTGCTGATCAGAAACTCAACTAGAGGAAGATAAAAAAGTTTGATACAGGAAGCAAGTGTAAATTACAATAATTTTATGAGCTTGACCTTTGCTTATAGATGTAATTGTTCAAAACACCAACCAAGAGGGAACGAGTCTTTACATCAAGGATCAAGCCTATCCCCTCAGTACATAGTGTTGACAGGAACAGGCAACTTAGACGTTGGCTACCTAAAATGAGGGACTATAAAGGCACAAAATGGATGGCTTATGAGTTTTCAAGAAGGAGTTTAGTTTCAGAGTGAGGGGGGAAAGGTAGAATCCCCAATGACTAGTATTCATCTTATCTAGATTGGTCTGGTGAAAGGAGATGGGGATAAGATTCTTAAGATTCAATAGTGAATAACTGTTATGACTAACTGCGATTGTCACAACTTTAACAGTAGAAGTTGTATAACAAAGAGGGGGGAGTAGTTAATCTTACATTCCAGGAACAGAGGACCCTAGGACCACCATAAGTGGAGCATGGGATCCTAATCAGAGAAGCAGCAACACCAGAGATGGAGGCAGAGGTAATGACATGGAGAGAGAGAGCAGCTGAGGATTCTAGACTCATGGAAAGAGAAAGGCTATGTGCTGGTAGGCAGGAGGCTAGCTTGCAAAATGTGCCCTTGGGTTGTTTAAATGATTATATATTCCTGAATGTTTTGTGAGCATTAAAAAAAAAGGGTAGAGGATAGAAGCAAATACTGTTAACCAGTGGTGCATGGATTGTAATCATAGCCGTGAAACAAAATTTAATTGGCTGAGTGCAAAACTGATGTTCTGCCATGTAACTATCACTCAATTCACAATAAAAGTTTTTTTTTTTTTAAAAGTCTGTCTTAAGTATTATGCTCTGAGCTATTTATATGCGAAGAGCTAGCTATATGAGCTCAAAGTGACAACTACAACTGGAAAAATTAGGCAGGAATCTTAGAGGGCAGTGAGTTTATATTAACCAAGAGAAACTACTCAGAAAAGGAGAATGAGTAACCAACTTGAAGAATGTTGTTAATTAATGACGCTGAATGGTACGTGTAGAAACTGTAGAACTGGTGTATGTTTTGCTATGTATATTTTCAGCAACAACAAAATAAATCAAATTATATTTCTTTAAAACAGGAGCTGGGTGTTCACACCACAGAGCAGGCCACATTCGCTGTAGAAGCTTGGACTCCACAGTCACTCTGGCCAGTGCTTCCTGAGATGTTCTTTCAGTTGTGGAATAGAAGACAGCAGCTGCTGGCACTCATGACAACGAAGGGGCTGTTTCAAGAGTTCAGACGTCCCATCTTGAACAGTCACTCTGCCAGCCTCTTGTATCATCTCGATCACAGCTGCAGGCAAGAAAAAAGAGTTCAGATCCCAACTACTCTTGAAAATTTTGACTCTAACCCTCCCAGCTGATGGCAGAAGAGGCAAAGAACTATTGAATTATTTCTCATCTATGAACTCCAGTAATTCAGGACAACCTTAAATCCCCTTTTGACAAAACTGCTTTCTTGGTCACCCAAGAAGACTGCTCACAGCAAAGTGGCAATTCTACTACAATCCAAATAACCTGGTTTCTTTCAATGGAGCTCTCTTTAGAGAGAACACAAAGCTGAACATGGGTTTTTAAGGCCTGGATTTACAAAGGAAAATAACTGAATGGAATATGACAACAGCTGAAAAGATCAAAATATGTGAAAATCAAAGAACACGGCTTACCTCGTGATTCAATGAAGTATTCTGTATTGAAAGAATTCCAATGTTTTTTGTTTTTAAGGCAGGGAGAATCAAAATCCTGGCTGATCACATGAAGGTGTACCTGACTAGTTGAGAGAAAAAAATATGACCATTAAGCCCATGAAAAACTATGGCTAAATCAAAATGACAAAGAGTAGAAGTATGGATAGTGTGTCAAATCAACTCAGTTCATTCACTTAACAATATTTAATGCTTAAATACCTACAGTATTTAATGCTTAAATACCCATAAAGATTTTGTCTCAGAAACCCTGTAAAGAACCTCTGTGAGTTGGAATCAACTTGACGGCAGTAGGTTTAAGGGCCTGCAACAGGGGTGGGGAAATTCCAGCCCACGGGCCGCATAAAGCCAAGGAATCAATTGGTCTGGGCCTGCCAAAGCAACCTCAGTTCCAGTCATCATACTGTTGTTGTTGTTAAGTGCCATTGTGTTGGTTCTGACCCATAGCGATCCTGAACGGGGTTTCCGAGGCTATAAATCTTTACAGGAGCAGAAAGCCTCATCTTTCTCCCGCGGAACAGCTGGTAGTTTCGAACTGCTCACCTTGCGGTTCGCAGCCCAATTCGTAACCACTACACTACTTCATTCTTCTTGGATCAACTATCAACACTCGCGGAAGTAGCAGTCAAGAGATCAGACGACGTATTGCACTGGGCAAATCTGCTGCACAGGAACTTTTTAAAGTATTGAAGAGCAGAGATGTCAGCTTGAGGACTAGGGTGCGCCTGACCCAGGCCATTGTGTTTTCAATAACCTCATATGGATGCGAAAGCTGGACAGTGAATAAAGAGGATCGTAGAAGAATTGATGCCTTTGAGTTGTGGTGTTGGAGGAGAATACTGAGGGTGCCATGGACTGCCAAAAGAACCAACAGATCTGTTTTGGAAGAAGTGCAGCCAGAGTGCTCCTTGGAGGCCAGGATGACTAAGCTTCGTCTCTCCTACTTTGGACATATTGTCCGGAGGAAACAATCGCTGGAGAAGGATGTCATGTTGGGTAGGGTGGAGGGTCAGAGAAAAAGAGGAAGACCCCCAATGAGATGGATCAGCCAGGTGGCATCATTGATGGACTCAAGTGTGGCAGCGGTAGTGAGGTTGGCCCAGGATCGAACATTGTTCCGTTCTGCTGTGCATGGGGTCGCTATGAGTCGGTTCCAACTCGATGGCACCTGACAACAACACTACCAGAGAGTGGCGTGTTAATTAAATGTTTGACCAAGCATAGCAGACTAATTTTTAAATTGATAATTTTGTAGGGCGCATAAATAATGTTATAAATTTGGCAGAAAAAGGGTTCCCCACCCCGGACCTACAAGGTGTCAAGCAGTCTTCTAAACACTGGGAATTTAGCAATGAATAGGAAAGGAAAAAACCTCGGCCCTTATAGAAATTATAATCTAATGGAAATATGAAAATAAGTAAACAAGGAAAATTCAAATCAGGATCATTGCTAAGATGAAATACAGCAAGGAAATGGGGCAACATGTGCCCAAGAGGAGAGGTTGTGGCTTTACTAGGCAGTGACTGATGCAGAGAGAGTAGCCAGGCAAGCCAAGTCTGCAGGATGACAAGTGCCTGTTGCAACCAAAGAACAGAAGGACGATGCAGCCGAGTGGGTGAAATAAGAAGACAATGGTTGGGACCAGGCAGGAGCCAGATCACAGGGTTTCACAGGCAGTCAAGAGACTCACATTCTAGTCTGATCACAGTGGGGGACCACTGAATGATCTTAAGCAAGGGAGCACCAGTAACTGACTTACATCTGTCTGTGGTGTAGAGGAAGGACAGCAGGGAGGTAAGGGGGACAGGAAGACCAGTTAGAAAGCCACTGTGGCAGTCTACGCCAGCAAGCAGCATGGCTTACCCCAGAGCTGTAGCAGTTGAAATGCTGGGAAGTGGTCCAATTTTCAATGTACTTGGGGAACAATACAAAAGGGCTTACTTATATGGGTGTTGTTGTTGTTAAGTGTCATCAAGTCAGTGTTGACTTACAGTGACCCTGTGTGGCTTTCCAAAGAGCAGCTGGTGACTTTGAAATGTTGACCTTGTGGCTCAAACTGGCCTTGCAGTCCAGTGTTTTATCCCACTGTGCCACATCTGGCTGGTCCCACTTAACTGATATGGAGAAGGTGAGGAAAAACAGATTTGCGAAAGCAAATCAAGAGCTGTTTTAGACTTGCTAAACCAAGTCGGCTTTTTGTAAGGTTTTGACTCTAGGAATGATAGTAATGTTTCACATTTCCCCTCAAAATTATTCTAATCACCCAGTATATAGGGAAAAGCCAAAATGGAACACAACAGTAACAAATAAACCTAACTAGATCATAATTGGATAATGGAGCCATACTGAAAAAAATATGGAAGAAAATAGCTCACTTAAGTAATTCTGGAAAACAATATTATAACTGGATACTATAAAGCTAAAGAAAAAAATAACAGTACACAAATAATGTACTAATTAGTAAATGACTTTCTCAAAGATAGGCAATTCTATAACTATTTTATATGTATGCTAGGATTGAACAAATAAGTGAATTTATTATAGCTCACAAGTTTTTGACTGTTGGAGAAATTGCCAATAGGCAAAAAGGGAAGAAAGACTAGAATGAATTCTGGTGTTGGACTATAACCAGAGGTATCAGAATGAACCCATGGTTTTCAATAAACCAATATAGACAAATGAATGCAGAACTCAATACATGTATGTGTCTGTGCATGTTAGTGATCATATATGTATTCCCCAACTCTACCACCTGAGAGGGCCTCAGAACAATGAAACCCTTCTGTCATTACAAAAACCTAATGCCCAGTCTTTAAATGCCCTCTTTAAAGTATTTTAAGAGCAAAGATGTCAGTTTGCAGAATAAGGTACGCCTGACCCAGGCCATGATATTCTCAATAACCTCAGATGCATGTGAAAGCTGGACAGTGAATAAGGAAGACCCTAGAAGAATTGATAGATTTGAATTATGATGTTGAAGGAGAATATTGAGAGTACCATGGGCTGCCAAAAGAACAAATCATCTGTGTTAGAAGAAATACAGCCAGAGTGCTCCTTGGAAGCCAAGATGACTTCACCTCTCATACTTCGGACATATTATCAGGAAGGGCCAGTCCCTGGAGAAGAATATCATGATTGGTAAAGTAGAGGGTTGGAAAAAAAAAGAAGACCCTTAACAAGAGGAATTGGCGCAGTGGTGGCAGCAATGGGCTCAAACACAGCAATGATTGTGAGGCTGCTGCAGGACCGGGCAGTGTTTCGTTCCATTGTGCATACAGTTGCTATGAGTCGGATCCAACCTGATGGCCCATAACAACCACAACAATGCCCAGTCTAGGGTTATAAATATTATGCTCCAATAAAAGAAACCAGGGCTCCTTGGAGAAGTGATTCATTCTATAGTTGGGACAGAAAGGATATAAGATGAGCCTGGGCAAGGATCATTCCCACCCCTCCATACACAGAGTAGACAGGGATGGGCAACTTGGACATTGGCTACCAAAAATGGGGGGCTACAAAGGCAAGAAGTGACTGGCTTACGAGCTTTCAAGAGGGAACCTAGATTCAGAAGGCATGAAGGAAGGTAGAATCTCCATTGAGTAGTATCCAATCTGTCTAGGCGGGGCTGATGAAATGAAATGCAGATGGGTCTCATGTGATACAATAGTGAATAATTGTTATCAGGACAGATTGTGAGGGTTGGAAATGTAAAGGTAGACATTTTGTAGCAAGGAGGGGAGTGATTAACTTTTCAGTCTAGGAACGGAGGTCCCTGGGACCATCAAGGGAGAACAGCAGAGAGCAAGACCCTACCCAGAGAAGCAGTGACGCCTGAGATGGAGGTAGAGACGATGACGTGGAAAGATGGAGCAGCTGAGGGCTGTGTGCTGAGGACCGGGGGACAGGCTTGTAGTATACACCCTTTGGTTGGCTGATGATGCATGGAGGGGATTGTAACCACGGCAATGAAACGATATACGATAGAATGAATGTAAAACTAATGTTCTCGCATGTAAACTATCACATAATTCACAATAAAAAAAAAAGATGAGCCTGAACATCTTCGGGGGCCAGAAAATAATGACGTGCTAAAAATTTGTAGCAGGTGATGTCATAACTTGGGGATAGATAAGGGTGAGGAGTGAACAACATGATGATTTCACTGAACTGTACGTGAAAAGCCTGTTGAAACAGAAAATGCTGTTACATATAGATTAACCATAATTTTTTTTTTTTCTTTTTTAAGTTGTGAGGTAGGTCAAAGTAACACAATAGCCAAACTGAAAAAGTTCATAATGGTTAAAGTGAAACAAAGTCAATAACAAAATAATGATAGCATGGAATTAAGGAACCTTGATGACACTGTAGACAAGCATTGGACCACTAACCACAGAGGCTTTCTGCTTCTGTAAAAATGTGCAGCCTCAGAAACCCTGAAAAGGGTCAATGTGAGTCAGAAGCAACTTAATGGTGTGGGATTTGGTTGTGTTTTATCAGTACTGAATTATAAAGTATAGAATCTATCAAATATTCATAAGTCTTTACTGATTTTTTTTTAATTGAGTAAATAAATAATAGAAACGGGACAGCTTCTCCATACAGAAGATTTCCAATTAATAAATTAGGAGGAATAAGAGACACAGAAAATTACCATTAGGCAAACATCCTATTAGTTATGCTGCATGCAAGGTTCACCAACGGACACCAAAATCAGCAGGCAAAAATTAGATGAGAAACAGGATAACTTCAAAAGAGAGAAGGGCCAGGAGTGGAGCATCTTCTTTGCATCCAGGTCCCGGTGCTGAGAACCTCCTAGACCCAGGGGAAGACGAATGCCAAGCCACATGGAGATCACCAAGGCACACCAGGCCCACACTTGTAGAACAGAGACAAGAACATTCCCCCTGAGCCAACAAAGAGAGAAAGCTTCCTTAGAATTGGTGCCTGAATTCAGACTTCCAGCCTCCTAAAGTATGAGAGAATACATTTGTTTGTTAAAGTTAAAAAAAAAAAAAAGAGAATAGTAGCATGGACTCAAAATATCTCCCCCACGATATTTATCAATAACAAAGGGAAAAATAGTAACTTTGAGTGGAGGAACGTGACAGACACCACCTTTGACCAAGTCATCACAAATAACATCACCTTATCAACATCATGCACTCCTAATATAAGGCACTGAGAAGGGCACAACAACACTTCTGTGGGAATTTTGGGGGGAAAAAAGCACATCCTCAATCTAATCAAAACCAAACACTAGACAAGTCCCAACTGAGAGACATCCTACAAAACTAGCCAGTATTCATCAAAAGTGTCAAGATCATTCAAACCAGGAAAACTGAAACTATCACAGGTTAAGAGAGACTAAGGAGACATGACAAATAAATGTAATATGCCATCCTGTATTACATCCTGGAACAGAAAAGAGATATTAGAATAAAACACCGTGAAATTCAAATAAGGTCAGAAGCTTAATTAGTAAAGATCTTCATTCTGCTAAATAGTTTTTCTATTTGTTATATTTTCTAAAGTGAAACCTACTACTTTTAGCATTGGAAATATGATTTACCTATCCATTTCTGTTCAAAATTACATCATAAAGATTGATCATAAAAGCGTAGGTAAGTGACAAGTTACTAACTGACTGCTCATTTTGCTTCCAACCCACGCCTGCCACAGCTCTTGCCTCTACATTCTCCTTAGCACACAGCACTTGTCCTATGAAAAAGGTACACAGGATCGCTGTGTGCTAAAGGGGCACCACTCAAGGGCTCCACTATGATACAGAAATAGGAATATGTGTGATTTTTCCTCCTAAAATTTCTAAGACTTAACAATAAATATATCTAAATGTATGGGGGGGTTCAAAAGGTACACGGAAAAATGGAATTAAAAGATAATGGGTCCGTCTTCTGCCTATAACTAAAAAGAGGCTACAACTTGCCCAGTGAAGGAGGCTTCCTGAGGAGCCTTTGCATTGCATAAAGCCATAGGTGGAATCCTGAACCTAATCCAGAATCTTCTCAGGTAGGAAATTTCCACTTGAAAGGACAAGTAGACCAGCCTGGAGTGGCTAGAAGAACAGAAGATACTTTTTGAAAGAAAGACTGACATGAAAAATACAAAACAATAACAGCAGTCCGACTGATTACTAAAAGAACAAGCAAGTTGCTCACCCAGAAGACATCAAGGGAAGTGGTCAGATCCCCTTAGGGCAAGCTCCCTTCCAAGACTAAGACTCAAAGGGAATACACGAGCAGACTTGCACTCTGACTGGTGACCACAATAAGGGGAAGTGATGGAAAAACAGCAATGTGGCTGTGAGCTAAGTCCTACCACATTCAACAGAATCCTGTGAACCTGGGTGGAGACCTGGTTGGCCAGCAGTATTGCAAAACCTGGGGATGCCTGGGCCTACAGTCAGCGACATACCCACAGAGAGAGTGAAGCATCCAGCTGATAAGAAGAGGGCATATGCACAAGATCACCCACACTTGACCTGGCTTCAATGACTGGATGATCAGAACTCAACTAGAAGAAGAAAGAAGAGGAAAAAAAGAGTAATCTGATACAATTTGATGAACTTGGCCTACATCTATGGATGCAATAGCTCAAAAGAGGGAACAAATCTTTACAGTGAGGATCACACCCACCCCCTTGATACACAGGGTAGACAGGGATGGGCAACTTGGACACTGGCTATCCAAAATGGGGGGGTGGGGGGGGTGGCTACAAAGGCAAGAAGTAACTGGCTTACAAACTTTCAAGAGGGAGCCTAGATCCTGGGGGCATGGAGAAAGGTGGAATCTCCACTGAGTGGTGTCCAATCTGTCTGGGTGGGGCTGATGAAAGGAGAGGGGATAGCACTCATGTGGCACAACAGTGAATGACTGCTATCAGGACTAACTGTGAGGGTTGGAAATGTAAAGGTAGACGTTTTGTAGCAAAAGGAGTGGAGTGGTTGACTTTGCAGTCCAGGAGCGGAGGTCCCTGGTACCATATCAAGGGAGAAGAGCGAAGTGTGGGACCCTACCCAGAGAAACAGTGACACCAGAGATGGAGGCAGAGACGATGACATGCAGAGATGGAACGGTTGGGGACTCTAGATCCAGAGAGGGAGAGGGGCTATATGCTGACGACCGGGGGGTGGGGGTGAGGCAGGCTTGCAGGGTATACCCTTTGGTTGGCTGATGATGCATGAAGGGGATTGTAACCATGGCAATGAAATAATATATGATAAGATGAATATAAAGCTAATGTTCTCCCATGTAAACTATCACATTAATTCACAATAAAACATTTAAAAATAATAATAATGGAATTTTTCCACAATCTTTTGAAATCTCCTCACATTGAGTATATATGCAATAACATGAATCTCAAAATCATTACAATGCACAAAAATGGCCAGACCCAAAAGAGTGAACACTGTATGAATTCATTTATATGAAGTTCTAGAACAGACAAAACTAATCTGTGTTTAAAGCAATCAGAATAGTGCTTGAAAGTGGGGAAAGATTGACTAGCCGGGGAAGCAAGGGGATCTTCTGGGTTGACATGATAAAAATGTTCTGTATCTTGATCAGAGCAACAGTTACATGGGTGCACACATTTGTCAAAACTGATCAAACTACACATCTTATTATATATTTTACTAAATGTAAGTTATGCCTAAATTAAAAGAGTTTGATGGAGGGAAAAATGTAGCACAAAGGTTTCATTTGGTTAATGTGGCCAGTATCTAAGTCATATCTATATAAATGAAATGTGAGAGTACTGAATGTAGGGGGAAAAAAAGTGAAGGTAAAACGTTAGTCTGATGATCTGGTTGCTACTTAGCTTGAAGGAATTTGGGAGATCTGCCTGGTCGGCATTCTTTGAAAAGAATCAATCATTTCTTTCCAAATCTATCTGGGTATGAGCCAAAAGGAAACAAACTCCACATTTTTCTCTCATTTTATTTTAAATCTTAGATCTACAAATACAAAGCTATCCTTATAAAAGTCTATGATGTTTGTTTCCTTCAGAGTCAAGGTCCTTAAGCATTTTGGGGTTACAGATCCTTTTGAAATGTCTGATGAAAGGTACTGACCGCAATTATTCATCTGAGGATAATTCAGTTGCTTTATCTAGTTCTACGTGAGGCCTGCACAGCTTTAAGCTTTAAGATAAGCAATGAACCATAAGCGATTGAACTACAAGCGGAAGTAGAAATTTAAGGCTCGCAAGGAAGTCAAGCGGGATGGAAGCTTCACTCACCTGCCTTGAAAACATACCACCCTCCTCCCCAGGCCTTGGGGCTCTCAGCACTCTGCAGGCCCAAACAGTTTCCATCTGTCCACCCTGAGAGAACCAGTAAAACCAATACCACTCACAAGGTTTACCTCATGCTGGGAATGGCATGGTAGCCCAATCGAAAGCGGAGCTTGCTGGAGGCGGCACAATCTGCAGCCATTTTTTCCCCCACAGCGTGCATGTGTTTGAGGAGTTCCAGGTGTTCCTGGGTCACTGCCTTCAGACTGGAAATGGAGGTCCATGGTAACACCAACCAGTGGTGACGGGCCTTGGGATATTTATCCTTAATCACCACTACCTGCTCATCTTTGTAAACCTGACAGAGGGGCACAGAGAAAGAAACAGACATTTACTGAGCTTCTTCTGAAGCCAGGTGCAGTTACATTCATGCATTCAGCAATCCTCATCACAATCTTGTGCAAAAGATTTTCTTACTCCAAAGATTTTAGATGGGGGCACTTAGACTCAAGCTGAGTGTCTAGAGCAAAGTCACATAGTTACCAAGTTGGAAGTCTAGGACTCAAGCCCAGAGTCAGTATTCTTAACCACTGTAGTGGACAGAACACACAGAAGATGCAGACTACAAAATAGTTTCATCGTTGTTGCAAAGTGCCTTCCAGTTGGTTCCAACTCATAGCAATCCCATATATAGGGTTTCTAAGGAACAACTGGTGGGTTTGAACCACCAACCTTGCTGTTAGCAGTCCAGTGCTTATCCTACAGCGCCACAACAATGTACCCATATCCAAATGCACCCATTTGCCACTTGAAGGGCAATGTTCAATGTAGAACACAATGCACGCACCTGTGTTCCAAAAAGCCCTATCAGACCTAGTCACTTGCAAACCTAGGATATAATCACAGAATGATGCCTGACTCCAACCCAGGACAGCCAGTAACAACAGTCAATAAGAAACTCCCTTGAAGTTAACACAACTTCCAAACAAAGGTGAGGGGACATTACTTGAAGTACGTAGCTTCTTTCCAAAGAATTTCAGTAGCTATCTTACTGCCAATAGGAAAAGCCTTTTGTTCTCACAAAACAGCCCAAGAGAACAAATCTCAAAATACCTATTCTCCTTTGATTTCATTTGTAGTACAGATGTAACTTCTGTGGAATGGTCACTTAAAATGAAAAAGACCCTAATCTCCAAATGTACTCTTACCTGCATTTTGGGATCCTGCATAGAAATCTTCAAACCTTGACTCCAGTGGCCTACTGCCTCCTAAAACATAAAGGGCAATGTGAATTCCAGATGCCAACAGCTACAGTGAATCTAGAGGATGACAGCAAAGTCCCAGCAAACTTAGAAACATGGTTAGTTTTTTCAATTAAACTAGATCCCTTTGCTTCCATCTACCGTCTTTTAGGATTTCCCTACTTTCTTCCTATTTCAGAGCTGGATGAATCAACAGAGGCCAGAAATGCCACACCACGTGAATCGTGTCTTCTCTGTCCTCTCACTTCCATAACAGCCTAGGTTTCCATTTTGATATTAGGACAGGAATTTCACAATCCAGGAAATGTTTTCCTGTGCTAACCTTCTATAGACATACAATCCACCTGTTTTTAAATCATTCAATGTTAACTCTACCTTCTAATTATGGCTCTACCTTCAGGAATTCAAGAGAAATATAAATCACATTCACGCAAGTGATTTTCATTCCACAAACAAGTGACTCTTTCATTAAGGTTAATAACGCTCATCCTCGTCAATAACTCCTCATCTATGACCGGGTTTTATAGAGAACAAAACACTTAGTCATTACATCTCATTTAATCTCCTCAGCATCTATCAAGTACCCTCACCTTTTTGGTAGTTCCATCTTTCCCTTTCTTTGAGGGCACAGAGCATTGAGTAGGGCTGCTCCTGGGGTCCAGTCCTGTCCCTGGCTCAATTTGCTGTACAACATCCCTTTCTCTAGAATCACTGTCACCTGACAGCTTTCTCTTCCTGTGTGTTTCCAGGCCAGGGCTCTTTGTCTCTTCCTCAAACTCTACAATATACGGATAAAGTTCATTCACCAAGTGGAGAACCTGGCCAGGCTTCAGCTTCACCTCTTGGTCTTTCCCAATTATGACGGAGTCAATGCTGGTGGGATTGACCCCTACCTATGGAGTAAACAATCAGAAAGTAATTTTAACAACAGCAATAACACCTTTAATAATATAGCCATTTACAATCAGGGTCTATTTTCAAAAGTTCATTTGTAAATTGGCTACCTAAGTCTGAACACATTTACAAACAGAAACAGTCTCCTAAATCGTTTACAATCTCAAAGTGGCCCATAGAACTCTTGTTTGTCTGCAATGTGGTTGAACGACAATATTGATTATGAAGTCTCATACTTTCCATAGAGAATCCAAGAGGCTGGAAAACATCTCCCTACCATGGTCTAGGATTTAAAAGAAACCTCTCCTTCTCCCCTGTCCTACATTCCTCTGGCAGAAACAATTTCTTCCCTACTTCCCAGCACTGCCAGAATACAGGTTTACTGGAAGAAGCCTTCAAAATGCTAGAGACCTTTCCACCCATGAGAGAGTAGCTTTTACTGGCTGGTATGGGAACTCTATATTCAACAGCATAAGAAAATCATCAAATATAACATGGAAATTAAAACTACAAATACACATACCTGCTTTACCTTGACATATCCCTTGTTACACTCTGCTTTCAACTGTACTGAAAGAGATTGGAAAAAGTTCAACTTAAGTACCACTTAGAACCAATCACTTGCTCCTGCTCTCCCTCCAAGATAATGAAGCCTCACTCCAGCGGGCAATTTGAAAGATGCTTCCCCAAGGCCTATGACCTACACACGGGGGTTGCGACTCCAAATCCCACCAATTTCTAAGAGCTTCAAATCCTTCATAAAACGGCCAACAGCAGACATCAATGTCTAAGAGTTTCATAAAATGGCCAACAGCAGACATCAATGTCTAAGAGCTTCATAAAATGGCCAACAGCAGACATCAATGTCTAAGAGCTTCATAAAATGGCCAACAGCGGACATTAAACCAAAAAACCAACCACTGCTATCAAACCACTTTTGATTTATAGTGATCCTTTGGGCAGAGTAGAACTGCCGCCTCGGATTTCCAAGGCTGTAGTGTTTATGGAAGTAGTGTCATATCTTTATGCTATGGAGCAGCTGGTAGGGTTAAAACGCTGACCTTTTGATTGGCAGCTGAGACTTTAACCACTGCACCACCACAGCTGTCATACTCCCTAAGCTACTGTTCATATCCCTATGAGGCACCTTCAGCAAACCCCACATATCTCCCTATGCCAAAGCCCCTGAATCAGGTAGACAAGGAAGGGAAGCCACCTCTCTTGCAAGCTATTGTTGTTGTTGTTACTGTTAAATGCCACGGAGTCAGTTCCAACTCCTAGAGACCCTGTGGATAGTTTCTGAAGCTGTCAATCTTTATAGGAGTACAAAGCTTCATCTTCCTCCCACAGAGCAGCTGGTGGTTTTGAACTGCCAACCCTGCAATTAGCAGTCCAGTGCTTATCCTACAGCACCACACCAGTACGCCAAGACACCTCTCTTACAAGCTACTGACTCAGGATTAAATCAGGCTTCCACTGTAATATAAAACTATCAGCTGCCTTCGACAGAGACAAAGGTAAAAAATACACTCCTGGAAAACAAGTTCAGCTGGTCTTAGGCAGAGGGAGTAGAAGGAATGTTCTGGAAAGAGGCATGCGGGGATAAAACAGAAGTAACATCAAATATTCGTGTTCAGATACATGAACACAGTGTCTGGGGTGAGACAAGGAGCAAAGAGACCCTGCAGGTACTCCCCAGGGAGAACCAAAGAGGACAGGCCTTCATCCATGCAGCCCCCAGGCCTCGTGGGCCTGGCCACTCAACATGGCTTTACACACATTTAGATTAACTCAGGTGAGAAGGATCAAAATCGGTGCTGTAGACTACAGCTATCAAAGTCCAGAGCCCTAGGGAAACTCTGTTGGTGAGAGCAGTGAGTATACACAATTGCAATTTATGGGAGGGGGGGGGGGAATGGGGCATGTAGGAAGGGCTTTCAGTTCATTAAACACCAGGAAAATCGATCCAGGAACTGGAAGATACAACCTTACTGAAATATCAGCTTAAGTAATAGATGAAACCATTGCATAACTGCTCTCCTTTTTCTCACAGCCCAGTGAGGAACTTGCCTGGACAAAGCAGGATGCAGGCCTCAGTTCCATGATCCCATGCTAAAAGGCTGGAGTCCTGCCTCCAACGCTCACCTGACTCCACCCTGAGTGTCATCACTGGAAAAGCAGAATTAGGAATGAATGGGGTCAAGGTATTGTCCAAGAGAGTTCAGTCCCTGAGTCTAGGTTTCCCACCATCAGCACCCAAAAAATGTGCATCTTATCCTGGGGAACCAAACATGGTCATCTCCAGATTCCTGTGACCAGTTACCTTGCCGTCGAGAACATTTCTTATCAGTGATCTTGGTGTCTGGGCTGCGCCCAATCACAACTGCTTCCAAATGCGGGAGTCGGATTCGCTGGTGCCGACTGTCCTGTCTCACCAGCCAGCATACCCGCATCATCACTCTGAGAGACAACACATGAGAGTAAGAGAATCACTGGGAAAACAACTACACCAGCACGACAAGTCTCCCAGCGCCACTCCCCACCACAGGACACACACCGTCTTAAGGCAAGTGACTTCACCTCCCTAGTGTAAAGCATCTCATCTGTAAAATGAGATAATGACAGGATTCAGGAGGCTGTTGAGTAGATTAAATGAGATAATGTGGGTATTTACTTCTGGGTCTGAATCAAGCTAAGCAAACAAATATTTGTTAGGTTTAGTGGTAAAATCTGTATACTGGGTATGTTAAGAATCGAAGGATGAACACAGGTGCAGCCACCATGTGAAAAGACTTTGGACTAACGACGTAAGAGGAAAGAATGTTCTTCAGGTGATAGTATGTCTTTATGTGTATCAGAACGATTCCCTTCCTTCAGTGTCATAATATACTGATATTACAACAATATGTTTTACTGCATTTGCCAAGAGTGTCATAATACACATGCAACTTTTATTTTGGCCAATACACAAGTGGCAAGTCCACAGTGGAGGTGCTGATGCTCTGGGCTTTTGGAACAACACATGCACAAAGAAGCCATGGGGCATGACTGTGAGGCACAGGGGATGGAGGAGACAGACAGGAGCAAAAAGATCAGCTTGGGCAAGTTCTCATGACCACACTGAGAAGGTCAGATCTGATGCTGAGGACAACAGTGAAACAGCAGAGGTCTAAGAACAGGGAAATGACAAAACCCAAGCAACCTTTCTGTCCATGCAGGGTATCAGTAGAGGAAGACAAGAAATTCAGGAGAGTGATGAGGCCTGAACAAAGGCAGAAGCAAGGGGGATGGAAAGAAAGAAGAGTCTGGAGAAATCGCGAAGATGACTTAATAACTGACTGCATTTGTGAATGACAAAGGAGTTAAGTGAAATCTCATGATTTCTCATTTGGAAGCTACCCATTAACAGAAATGAGGAATAAACAGGGGATTATAGTTTGGGTATAGAAAGGTAAGGAAGAGAGAAATGAGTTCAGATTGAAACAAAATTAGTTTAAACTGGCTGTCGAAGGTCCAAGGGTTAAGCAAGGATTGATGGGTATGAAGCTCAGGAAAGAGGAATGTATGTACTTGAGAGATATCAAATCGTCATTGGATTTGGAACAGAATGAGATCACCCAGGAGGGGGGAGAAGGGACTTATGGGCAGGGTCAGGACTGGATCTTTGGGATGCCAAAGCTGATCAAAGCTGAAGCCTCAGCTATCACCTCTCTGGGGAATACGGCTTCAGTCAGTGCAGTACCACCTCCCATGACAAAAAGCAGCATACACAACCAAACATACACTCACTCATAATTTCCACATGAACACTTCAATAGCACTGGGTCCATGTCTCCCACTGTGTCACTAGTCTATCTCTACCCAAACTGCTTCATCACTCTCGTTTAGGCTCTCTGCCCCTTATTTTCAACTGTGCTTTAGATGAACTGTTGTCAGTTTACACTCACATAGATCCTGCGTTGTAAGAGCACTATGCTGGAGACAAATAATTTTTTTTTTTTTTAACTTTTTATTGTGAAATCGTCAGTTTTGCATTCAACAAATCATATACTCATAATTTGCTTCATTACTATGACTACAATCCCCTCCATGTACCAACAGTTAACAATATTTACCTCTATTCACTTTAACTATTGCATTCCGTGTCTCCCTCTATCTTCATCTTTCCTCTGCTAACCTCCCTCTTGTTGCATATTGCCTGCTTTATCAACCATGTTAACATGAGTCCTAACCTAGTGTGATGCTGTAGGATAAGCACTGGACCACAACGTTGGTTTGAACCGCAAGGTCAGCGGTTCAAACTCACCAGTTGCTCCTCGGAAACCCTATACAGGGTCACTTTGAGTCAGAACCAACACGACAGCACTTAACAACAACAACCCTCTAGCCCATGAATAAGTTTCCCTCCCATCCCCTCTAACCACCACAGATTGTTTCTTTTGTTAAGAAAAACCTTTTAACTTTTTACAATATTGGTCCTTTGGGGATTGATTAATTTCACTCAGTATAATGTCCTCCTAGTTCATTCATGTTGTAAGGTGTTTTGTAGAGTCATCATTATTCTTCAACATTTTGCAGTATTCCATTGTATATATGTACCAAAGTTTGTTTACCCAATCTTCTGTTGATGGGCATTTAGTCTGTCTCCATCTTTTTTATGTGTCTCTTGTAGACAGCATATTGAAAGATCATGTTTTCTTATCCCTTCTGCTCTGTCTCCTGACTGGTGCGTTCAATCCACTCACATTCAGTGTAATTTTCAATAGATATAAATTGATTCTTGTCATTTTACTGTGGGGTTTTTTGTGTGTGGTGCTACTGGCTTCTTTGTTCTAATTTTCTGTACTGTGTTCATTTTGATTGTGGATTTTCTTATCATTGTCATTTCTATAGTGCTAGGGAGCTCTGGTAGCGTAGTGGTTACAAATTGGTCTGCTAATTTCACGGTCAGCAATTCGAAACTACCAGCTGTTCCACAGGAGAAAGATGAGGCTTTCTGCTTCCGTAAAGATTTACTGCCTTGGAAACCCTGTACAGGGTCACTATGAGTCGGAACCAACTCCACAGCACTAACAACAATGTTCACTAAATCTTTCTGGTTTTCCTCCTTTTTCTATTTTGATGTGCATGTGTGTTTTCTTTGAGGTTACCCTGCAATGTATTAAGTTTTCCCCTAGTTAAAAGTCTTGAAATCTGCTTGACCTCCTTGGTATTTGGAAGTTATCTACACTACTCCCTCTTTTTACTTAGTATTTGACATCATTATAAATTTATTTCTCTGGTCCCCTATTTTCAGGTAGAAAGAACCCACACTTTTAAAAATCAGAATTTCATTACCTTCCACAAAGATGAAATAATGCAAAGTAGACTAAGTATATCACTGTTGAAAAGGTACAAATTCATAGGAACTGGATTAGTCAAGAGGCTTCTGGCAGCACAGTGCATTCTGCTTTGAAAAGGCACACTGCAACGACACAGATCCAGTAATGGTAGGCCACGGCTGTGAGTGAAAAGCAGATCCTACATCACCAATAAAGGGAAGTGAGGGACAAACAGCAATGAAGCTGCGAGCTAAGCCCTACAATATTCAATAGACTCCTGTGAACTCAGGTGGAGACCTGGTTGGCCAGCAGTGTGGCAAGACATGGGGACTCTTGAGCCCAGAGTCAGTGTCATAGCCACAGAGGACTAGAGTGGAGAGTGAAGCATCCAGCTGAGAAGAAGAGAGGGCATATGAACAAGAACACCCATATGTGCAGATAATACCCACTTGACCTGGCTTCAATGACTGGATGATCAGAGCTCAATTAGAAGAAGAAAGAAGAGGGAAAAAATGAGTAATCTGATACAATTTGATGAACCTGACCTACACCTATGGATGCAGTAACTCAAAAGAGGGAACAAATCTTTACAGCAAGGACCATTCCCACCCCCTTGATACACAGGATAGATAGGGATGGGCAACTTGGACATTGGTTACCCAAAATGGGGGGGAGGGGCTACAAAGGCAAGAAGTGACTGGCTTACAAACTTTCGAGAAGGAGCCTAGATCCAGAGGGCGTGGAGGAAGACAGACTCTCCACTGAGTAGTATCCAATCTGTCTGGGAGGGGCTGATGAAAGAAGATGGGATAGATCTCTTGTGATACAATAGTGAATAATTGTTATCAGGACTGACTGTGAGGGTTGGACGTTTTGTAGCGAAAGGAGGGGAGTGACTGACTTTGAAGTCTAGGAGCAGAGGTCCCTGGGACCATCAAGGGAGAAGAGCGGAGAGCGGGACCCTACCCAGAGAAGCAGTGATGCCAGAGATGGAGGCAGAGACGATGATGTGGAGAGATGGAGCAGTTGGGGACTTTAGACCCAGAGAGGGAGAGGGGCTGTGTGCTGACGACTGGGGGGCAGGCTTGCAGGGTATACCCTTTGGGTGGTTGATGATGCATGGAGGGGATTGTAACCATGGCAATGAAACAATATACAATAGGATGAATGTAAAGCTAATGTTCTCCCATGTACACTATCATATAATTCACAATAAAACATTAAAAAAAAAAAACTAAAAAAAAAAGGTAGATCCTAGTAGACTGAACCAGAGGAGCTATGCCAGAGTCATACAAACGGCAGAGTTGTTGAAAGAACTCTAGGATGATAAGTTTAGACTTAATAAAATCAACAAGAGACAAAAAGCCAAGTTTGAGCTATACAGTTAAGGTGAAACAAAATTCTAAGAAAACTTTACCAACAGCTGTGTGTAGGCGGGCCAGTGTGGAGAAATCTAGATTCAGAGAGGCTATTAATGTAATGTGGGCCTAGAGAGAAGTCCAAGAGGTAGTTTCAACAGGTCTTTGTGAAGGAGTTGATGCAAAGAGCATGAGGAATCAGCTGTAAATCTGAAATCATAAGCTTGAAGCCTCAAATGATAGTGGTGCTGTAAGGTTCCACTTGTAAATGCTATGTGTTCAGAGGGCATCTGTTTGCACTTGCTGGAAACTGATGAGTGAGCAGTGAAGGACTGAGAAATGAAGTGTTTATTAAGCATAGGCAAGTAAGTCATGTGGTGAGTGTGCATGCTAACAATAAAAGGCAAGAGAGAATTCTGCAGCTTGGGAGCAGGCTCAGGGTAGCTGAGGGCATAGCTGGCTGTCACACAACAATAGGAATTACTGTCCTGCTTTCTACAAACACACATTCACGTACTTTATTCTCTGCAAAGTTCTGAAGTAGTGACGTTCCTATTGCTACCACCTGAGAAGCTGAAGCAATAACTGCACAGTTATTGTTAGTGTGACTAACTTTAAGCAACAGTTTGGCCCATTTCAGCCTCCAGCTCCAACTTCCAGGAATGAAGCTTCTAACATATGGGAGGCGCAGAGGGATGGGTGCTCCTGAATCTAAAATAGTCCCTTCACTAAAACTTCATGAACTGCAAGATCTATAAGACCAGAGGGCATGCCCAAACAGGTGGTCAAAGGAGAAAGCTCCTCTCTGAGACTGTTAAAATCCTTTAGTCATATAGTGTACCAACCGTTTCAGCATCTCAAGGCTTCTTGGGACGGCTATCCCAGTTGTATTATATGCTACCACCTGGTGAGAACTGCACAAACCTAACACCAATCCTAACACCAAAACAAACTTGGGACATCTGTGTCCCACATAATTGTATCAAAATCCATATTACTAAGGAAAAGTGTTCCTTAATTTCAGCATGTCTTTCATTACTAAAAACACATGATAGCCACAGAAAATTCAAATCAGAAAATAATTCAGGCACGAGATCGGTGTCAATTCAGATAAGAATAAAAAGTTTTTGTTGTTGGTAAGTTGTCTCCGAGTAGATAACAGAATGAAAAGTAGGTGGCAGAAGTTTGAGAGAAAGTATCTCTAATGACCTCAATTTTCTCTTAAAAATAGTACAGGAGGTAACAGTAAAGTGAAGACTGGGAAGGAGCTGCCTACACACAGAGAAGCCCATATGGAATAGTGATTAACAGACAAGGCATCTGAAGTCAAGACTGCTTGAGTTCAAATCTTGGCTCCACCACCACCTTTCACTGCATGCGTTAAAAACAAATTATTTAACATAAACCCTGATTTCTTCAACTGCTCTGCTCCACAGGGTTGTCACAGGGCTAAATGAGAAAATATGTAAACAAAACTCAAGGTCTGGCCAGAAACAGTAAACATTCAACACTATTACCATGCTTATGCATAGTGAAAGTATGATGAAAGCAGGAGTTAAGGTCACATATAAAGGTCACAGGACAACACCAACGATGCAACTAAAGTGGAGGACACAAATCTGTATTGTCTGCCCATATGACAAATCCTGTTTCTAAGTATTCTCCACGATTCCCAAAATAAAGCAAATTCCTAGAAGGTTCCAGACCAGGACTATATTAATTCCAAAAGAAAATGTCATCCCTGGCGGGGGACGGGGGGAGGGGGGGGAGCGGAGGGGTTTGAATGTAAATGTAAGGCTTCTTCTGGCCTTCCTGTAAGGCCCGTAGAGGACGTTGCCATCTATAATGTGCAGCGTAGGCCAGTGCTCACTCCAATTGACCTTCCTTCTGCGTGTGTTGTGACCAAGCTCCGTGCAGGTGTAGGGGCAGAAACGGAGCAGAGACTAAAGTGCGAGTCCACCGGAGGAGGAGGAAAGTAGGAAGTCCAGGGCCAGAGAGCCCCAGGATGCTGCAACGCCGACCGGGAAAGACGCCTTGAGTGCTTTAATCAAGGCGTATTACTCAAACGCAGTAGTTACACCCGCCTAAGACCCCCAACTCGCGACTTCCAACCCTGTCTAGAGTTGGAGGTAGGCTTACCTCAAGACAACCGAGACTGACACGTTCACGTTAATACATCCGTGCTGCACCACTTCCGGCGCTGAGGGATGACATCAGAGAGCCGCTGGAAAGCAACTAATGTTGCCACTAACCTCTCTCAGAGAATTGGCTGAGTGGGTGTCACCAACACCCGATTTGGGAAATGACCGCCGCAAGTGGTCCTTCTCTGGGCGTTAGGCGCTGGGCCCAGTGTGGCCGGATCCTGGCAGTTATCCTGGTGGGGACGAGTTCACTCAGTGTCTCTGTGCCCCACCGCCACTCCGTTGTCACTTTATCTCAGTCTCTGAATTGGAAGGGACTGAAGTTATCCCCTCTGTACGTGCAGCCTCCTTGAGACCATCTTTTCCGCTGCTAATGCCTGCTGTAGCTTTGCTTCCCCTTTTCTAAGCTACAGTCCGTTTTCTCCCTTTCTTACAAAGGACAGGAGAGACGGGGGAAACCTGCTAGAATTTTTTTAGTGCTGTGTTCGCTGATAAAGGGGCAATAGGAGAAGAGAGAAGTAGGATGAAGGGATGAGGTGTGTTTCCTGATCTCTGTAATAATTCCAGGATGTTTCCTAGATATGCATTGCAATTATCCGAAGGCACCTCCGCAGAGGGAAAATTTCATATATCATGGGTGAAGGAATAGTTTATCCTTTTTCTCAAACGCAATAGAAACTGAGCCTTAAAAAGTCATTTTTTTCTTTTTTCTTTTTTTTTTTTTTTGGAATCAACATTTTATTTAGAGAGATACAACAAGGAAGCTTGAAAAAGTTCGAGCATCTCACGTTCTGCTCTGTAAACCTTCATTCTATTCACAATAAAAACTTTAAAAAAAAACAAAATTTTAGGGAAAGTAGAATTAAAAGACAATGGAATTTTTCCATGCGTCTTTTGAGGCCCCCTCATATGTTGTTGTTGTTAAGTGCCGTTGTGTCGGTCCCGACTCATAGCGACCCTGTATAGGGTTTCCAAGGAGCTGCTGGTGAGTTTGAACTGCCGGGTTTGCGGTTCGAACTGACTAAAAAGTCATTTCTTGATCAAGATGGATTATTGTTTTATTTCATATAAAATCAAGTTCAATAGTATAACCCACACATCAGAGCCATCAAGACAGAGCATCTTCTAGGAAGCATGGAAGAGAGGCTTGCTTTTGTGAACAAAGGAAATCTACGCTTAAATTCAGGTGACACCAGGAAGTGGGGAGCACGCGAAGCATCTCAGCAGCCCCAGAGCTGAGTCTCATGGCAATGGAATGTGGCTCACTGCTCAAGATAAAGGCAGCAGCTCTGGCAACCTGGACAGCTTTGCTGTTTGCTCAGAACTAAGCTTCTATGTGCTTCTGCTTCTACCTGATACACCTTTGTGTGTCCTGCATTCAATATATATATATATTTTTTTTTTTTTTTTTTTTTTGTAAAGGCCACAGCACAAAATTTATTGGGATCATTTACTAAATAATTCACACACATCCAACATCATTAAATGGAAATAATGTCAGTTCATTAAAAATAAACAAATAAACAAGGCTCCAATTGGTGGTGTCTCTCAAGAAAGTAGAAAGCAGTATTTTGGTGACTGTCTCTTTGTCAAGTAGAAGAGCCAAACTAGTAAAGTCAGATATACATCTGTCAACTTCCAAACTCAATATTGCCAACATGTTTTTCTACCTAAAAACAAATTAAAATCAAAGCTTCATAATTTAGAAATTACTATGTTTCTTGGTTTTTTGTTCGAAAATGGTACCGAAAGATATCTTGTTAATGGAAGCAAAGCACTTTGTTTTAATAGTCTTCTTAAAAGCCTTAAGACGGCTTTTACAATATCAATATTTAGGATCCCCATCTGACAGATTTCTTTACATATGTGAATAGGAATGTTATCCAAACCTTAACTTTTGGATGCATATGAAAGCACTTCTATTACACCACTAACAAAGTTTTTCTGTAGACCTGGACCCAATCATTACATAAGAATTCATTACAATCTTTTCTAAGAAACCCAAACAATGTTGATACAAATGTCAGTGATCAATATATTGCTTGGCTACAAAAATCACAAAGAACTATGGATACTACATTTTCTTATGGCAAGAATGTTGAAAAATGTATCTTTAATAAGTGAAATTTCATAACACAGAAATAAATGATTTTAGTACCTTATAAATGAACATTCATCAAATTGTGCTCAATATTCCCAATGACTTTAATATAAAATCTAATTATACAAAGACAAAATTCCTTGCCCCATTGAACCCTGTATACCTAACAGTATTAGTGCTGAGAATGAGATCTATTTTAAGAAATCTCATATTAAGAACATTGGACATCATTTTGCATTAGTGATGGAGGAAAATGATAAGAACAAAGAAAACAAATATTTCAGAGATTTTGAAAAGATTAGGTTTAAGAGATCATTTCTTCTGACTCTATAGCTTTTTTTATGATGCACCTTTCAATGCTTCGATATGATGTAAAGAAAAGAATTTACTGAATAAGTAAATAAGTCAGAAAGAGAATCAAACACTTATAAGGTATATTTGTTAAATTTCTGGCCAAAGTGCAATGATTTTTAAAATCTTACACAAAACTATGAAAAAATACTTAAGAAAACAAAATACAAATGAGAAATTTAAACATAACATTTCTTCTACTACTTTATGTTGTTGTTGTTAAGTGCCGTTGAGTCGGTTCCGACCCATAGCGACCCTGTACAGGGTTTCCGAGGGTGTAAATCTTTACCAGAGTAGAAAGCCTCATCTTTCTCCCGCGGAGCGGCTGGTAGTTTTAAACCGCTGACCTTAAGGTTCGTAGCCGGATTCGTAACCCTACTCTACCAGAGCTCCTTCTACTACTTTATACTAAACCTGAATTTAGTCTAGAAAAACAAAACCAAATAAATAAAAAAACCTTTCAAGTGTTATTAAAATTCTAACTGAATCATTAACCCCAAATCCAGCACATACATTTCAGTGTTCCGCTGCTGGAAAATTTTCTCAAATCAGTTTAATCATTAACACCATATAATGGAGCATAAGAACATGGTCATTATATGGGATCCTTGCCCCTTACCCTCAGATTTGTGTCAGAATAAAGCTGACAATCTGCCAGACTCTGAACCCCAGTACCCCCAACCCAAACCCTGGAAGCAAAGAATACACCCTGTCATACAACTCTGTACAAGCTGTAGTAAAACAAAGCCTGAGTTTTTTTTTTTTTATAGGAAATGGTCAGTTATTTGATAGATGCTAAAACACTTCTAGGAAGTCATTTTAAGTTTGTTTAGCAAACACATTTTCCAAGAAGTGGAAAATTTTCAAAGTTCCTTTGAAATTTGGTCCACAAATTCACTGAACAAGTTGGAAATTTAGAACCTGTAAAAAAAGGGAGACCAGAGGACCTCCGATTCTAGCATGTTGTAACTAGTAAGGGGATATATACATACATACTAAAATGTTTTTGCTCACAGAAGGCACAGACTATAAAAGGGATATTCTTTTTAAATACAAATAAAAAACTAGCTGATACCCTCCTTTGTTTTGTGAGCACCATAACCAAGATTAAGTTGAATTTCAATTCATTGTCCTATGACCAAAAAACAGACAAAAATGAAATAAAAACCCAACAATAAAGATAAAAAATTTTATCTGTCTTCTTTCCAGCCATTATCTGAGATGTAATTATGAAAGAACAATTTGTCAGAGATGATGATGTGAAGACATGGAGCGGCTGGGGACTTTAGACCCAGAGAGGGAGAGGGGCTGTGTGCTGATGACTGGAGGGAAGGTTTGCAGGGTATATTTACCCTGTGGTTGGTTGATGATGCATGGAGGGGCTGTAACCATGACAATGCAATGATATACGATAGGATGAATGTACAACTAATGTTCTCCCATGTAAACTATCACATAATTCACAATAAAACATTAAAAAATAATAATAATAAAATAAATGTATTTAAAAAAAAAAAAACCCTCAATTTGTCCTATTAGAAGATCTACCTTATATTCGTGTATTTGTGAAAATATTGGTTTGCTATCTCTGGCCATCTGTAAGCTCCATGAGGGAAGGGATATGTCTGTCATGGTCGGTATTGCTTCATTGACTAGAAAAGACCCTGACACACAATAGGTACTCAATGATTTATTTATAGAGTAATACTTGCCCTCTAGCTTACTAATTCTTCCATTTACCAATAGGGTAATAATTCTTTTGACCATTATTTGTTATTATTATTAACAAACATCTATATAATGTTTACTACATGCCAGACACTCTTCTAAGTACTTTACATGTATTTACTCATCTAGGCCTCACAATCACCCAATGAGTTAGGTCTTATTATTATCCCCTTTTACAGATGAGGACACTGAGGACAGAAAGATTAAGTAGATTGCTAGTGGCAGAGCTTGGATTCAACCTCAAGGAGTCAGGCTCCTGAATCCATATTTTTAATTACTATACTGACTCTTCCTGTTTCCTGTCCTAGGTCTGGCAGTGACATTGCTATTAAAACAATAAGATAAGGTTACACATGATGATTCTCTGAATCACCTCCTAACGTGGATGAACCTGGAGAACATTAGGCTGAGTGAAATTAGTCAATCACAAAAGGACAAATATTACAAGAGGTCACTATTATAAAAACTCAAGAAAAGGTTTTCATGCTAAAAGAAACATTCTTTGACGGTTACCAGGGGTGGGAGGGAAGGGACAGTAATTCACTGGCTAGAGGGTTGTTGTTAAGTGCCATCAAGTCGTTTCTGATTCACAGCGACCCTGTATAGGGTTTCTGAGGCTTTAAATCTTTGCCGGAGCAGAATGCCTCATCTTTCTCCTGCAGAGCAGGTGGCAGGTTTGAACTGCGGACTTTGTGGTTCACAGTCCAGTGCTTATCATACATATGTTAATTTGTGTGATAGGAAGGGCAATATACAAGAAGAGGGAGACTGACAGAAGAATGATGAAGATAGGTGAAGACATGCAAGGAGTTAAAGGGAATAGAGGTAAATACTGTTATATACACAACCTTGGAATAACAGTGTTCTGCGGGGGGTAAATATATGGAC